ATTTAGAATCATAGAATCAGAGAATCCTTCAGRTTGGAAGGGACCTCTAGAGATGATGTAGTCCAACCCTCCTGTGCCTTCAGGGTCACCTAGAGCACGTGGCACAGGGCTGCATCCAAGTGGGTTTTAAAGATCTCCAGAGAAGGAGACTCCACAACCTCYCTGGGCAGCCTGTTCCAGGAGTCTGGCACCCTCACTGTCAAGAAATGTTTCCTTCAGTTCCTGTGGAACTTTTGGTGCCTCAGCTTGTGGCCGTTTCCTCTAGTCCTGTCGCTGGCCACCACTGAAAAGAGGCCGCCCCCTCCTCCTCACTGCCTCCCTTGAGGTATCTMTAGACACTGMTCAGGTCCCCCCTCAGCCTCCTCTTCTCCAGGCTGAACCCAGCTTTGGGTGCTGGGCGAGACACAGATACAGCATGGAACAAATTCCGCACTTTTTAATCCCATCAATTTATCCGGGTGCTGCCACAGAGGGACCCGGCTCTGGGAACTCCTTATAACTAGTCACTGTGGAAGTTATTTTCACAGTCATTGCAAGAGACCTRCTGAATGGGCACAGCTTGAGCCCTGCTATGCATAAGGACTAAGTTGTTTTTGGGGCTATTACAGGCATTTCTGCTAAACAGCCTAAATTAGAGATATTAATAAGTCTTGCACATTTCACATTTACTGCCCACTAAGTAGGCTCTGCATAAGACTATCTGAAGACAGACGTGTTTTGTAATTCTTACATTATTAAGAATCTCAAGGCAATTAGTGCTTTCCTCAAAGATTGTCACTGGATTGTRAGAAAGCCTTTTACCCTCTTATTCAGAGAGAAAAAAAAAAAAGCACATATTTGTCACCTAAAAAAGCCCCAAGTGCATGTGTTGAAGCTTATATATTTAAGCCACTCATAAAATGTGTTGTGACCTGACATTTAGTTTTCAATGTATGTTCCTGCCAGTGCTGGATCTTGGTCCAAATGCAAAAAAAGTCCCTAACTGCCCCTGTTTTGTGTGCTGACACCACGTCCTGACTCCCACAGGCCACAAAGAAGGGGAAACTCCAGCAGGCAGGACCTGCCCATATTCACCCTAATTTTTAGTTGACTTTACAGCTGCATTTTAAGTGTATTTTTCTTAATTTAAAAGAAGCTGGTATAACTAGGGCAAAGCTTACTTCAGAAAGGATCTTAGTAAAGAAAGTAAGAAAGTAAGTATCTTACTTCAGAAAGTAAGATAAGGCACAGCGTGGGATTTGTGCAAATAAGTTTTAGGTAACTGAAAGGGCAGCAGGGAGATGCCTACAGGAGAAAGGGAAGAGCAGCATTTTAATGGTATTAAATATCATTGTTTTTATCGAGATCCCAGGACAATCCTGTCTCGTTTTCTGTCTTTATTACCGATTCATTAATTATGAGCAATCCTATTTTGTGACTTTTTCCGCTCACCCTTAATACTTTTATTACCAAAGTTTTCAACAGGATACAGAAATGTCACATATTTTTGGAGAAAGTGGAGGGTAGACTTAGACTGGGTAGGCTCAGGAGCCTTAGCCCTGTGCGGAGGAAGCCGAAGCCAACACGACAACAGTTGAGCTGTGCTGTCCATGTAACAGTATCAAGCAGGAGGGTTTGGAGGAGGTCAGTGGGCTCATTCACCCGAGCAGCTGAAAGAAACCTGTGGAAATTACCAACTTTCTGGTAGCTGCACATAAAAAGTCTAGTCTTTTTAGGGGCTGAAGTAAATAATTCAAAAAATGGGAGGTGGGTGAGATGCTTCACGGGAAGGGGAGGCGCAAGGACAGTTACTTTTGCTTTTTGTTCTTTCCTTTTGGTACATTTTGAGACCAAATTTGGAATGTTTTTGTTTTGACTGTGCATCTACTCACATGGCCCACACCATCTGGATTGAACCCAAATTCATGAATAATTTTGGATGATCCCCAAAATCCCATCTTTACTCTATTACATTGCTTACAAATCCAAAAATAAAACACTAAAATACCTCTCCAGGCTTTAACATCAAATTTTCTTTTGTCTCGATGTTTTTGCTTGCTGCAGCTTAAGGCACTGCATAATTCAGGCCAAGGAAATTTGTATTTGTAAAGAACTTGGTCTGAGCCCCAAGCAGACGTATAGCCCAAGTTCATAGTTCTTCTAAGTTTGACAGAAAAAAAAATGAGATATCCTCATGCAAATATGGAAAAATACCTGTCCTGAGCTAAGGGTTACCAGGACCAGATGAAGAAGAATCTCTAGACTGAGCTCAGCTCTGTGCTCCTGATGATAAACCAGCAGCTGCTGCATGGAGCAGGTTTCTARCTGCTTCTTTCTAGCATCTTTTGAATCTGTACACAGTGTTTTGAGCTCAGATGATTTGGTTAACCACAAAATGCACTGTAAGAGTATTATTAAAATAAATCTTACAGATATAATTAATATTTTAATCAGTTCCTAGGGACCAGGARAATTAGCAGGTGCTTTGTAACAGCGCTGTGGTGATCTGTCGCTAAGGCTGTTTCATTCAGACTTTCCTGAATGAGGAACTAGAAAATAGGAGCTGTAATTCGGTGTGTAACCCTGCAGGCTTCGGCTTTATAAGCAAAGCAGACGYTGCAGTACAAACCTAAACTATTTGGATTTGCAGTGTGCAAGTGTTGTAGAAGAAACAAGTCAGGGTGAGTCCATCAGACGCTGTGGGAGGCAAATGTTGGAGAAAACATCTGTTTAAAGCAAAGATTCAGGCTACCAGCACAGCTAGCACTTATTGAACTCTTGCTCTAGCTGCTTTTATCAGCTTTTCTTTCAAAGCTCCATAATTAATGGTTTATTTTTTTCATGCTTATTTCACTCCCTCCAGACCTGAGGAATGGAAATGCTAGTATATATGAAAAAAGCTTTTATACTGTATTTACTAAATAGCATTTTCAGTTAGAATTAGTACAGGGTTATTGTGTACATCTCAAGGGGCTCCTACAGAAGACTTCAACTTGGCAGGTATATTCTCAATGTGGAGTTGATGTCCCAAGCTCAGGACAACTCTTTTTGAATTTCCTCTCTCTTTCATGTCTGCTATATATTGCTGAAACTTTAGATGTCTCGGGAATAGGCTTTTAATTATAAGTAATGATATGGGCAGTATTATAAATGCTTTTTGCACACAAAAATGCCCTTGCACACAGAGAGCCACTGCCTGTGGAGTGCCAGCACTATGGGCACGAGCGACTGACCTCCTTAAAAGACAGGGCAGTGCATCCTGTTTATATATGCAAAATTTAAGCTTTTAATCCATTCACTTCTAGAAGCACATTGAGCATAAAAAACATGAGCCCGCAGGGTGTGTTTAACAGAAAGGTGCTTCTTAACAATAARATGCATTTTGACTTTTAGCTCAGGATCTCTATTAAAGCTACCGTTGCTCCTCTACGCCGTGTATGCCATTGGAAGGCCTGATTTTCAGAATTTTAATCATGAAGGAGGAAGGATCTGTTGCACAGTGGAATGGAAACCCAGCTCTTCTGACTTGCCTGCTTCAGATAGGGGATCTTCTCTAGGTTTTTTAGGTCACCTCCATATCCAARACAGACTTCTGGCTTTTCTTCATAGTTTATTCTCCACTCCTTCCTCCTGCCTTCCCACTCTAGATTGTGAGCTTGCTCCTCGGGAGTGCTGGAGGATGAACTGGGACTGAAAGTGACCTGGAATTCACTCACTTTGGCCAGTTCCCACTGGCTATTTGGGAGCATCTTGATGTGTTTGATTTTCCTTATGAAGTAAAATTTATCATCATCATTTTCAACACCTGAATAAGCCCACATTTGTCACCTACTGTGTGAAGTGGAAGAGTTTTTCTCTTAATTGTAACAGTTTCAAAAGATGAGCAGTATGATAACCCCCCTGCTACGCTTCTAGAGTACGAGGTAGCTACTTTTTGTTTTGTAGTGTTAGTTTTGCTGGGCTAGTACAATATCTTGCTGATATTGTATTATGATATCTTTATTCCTCACTAACTAATATTAATGTTAGTGTTATTTTTCCTAGAATAGTGATAGGTGAGCATAAGCTTACACTTGCACAGGAACGGGAGGGTGGAGCAGCAACACCTTGGAGAAACCCACGTCAAACCCTATTAGTTTCTTGAGAGCTCTGAGCAGAAGAGAACAGCGAGAACAGTGTCAAAACACGTCCGCAGTCAGACGGCAGCATGAAGCAGCCAGGTGTTTGGAGGACAGGGAYGGGGAATCCCACATGCTGCTGTGCTTCCCTCTAAAGAAGGGGAGCGTGTTCTCCTGTCCGTGCTTGTCCCCCACTCTGCTCTCCACAGGCTCGTGTTGCACCCAGGTAGCATACAGGCAGGAAGGAATCCTTGCCTTCTTATTCTCCTATTCAGCCATACAAGTTAGAAGTTTTTCCCMTATTTTCTAAGTCACTCTGTTTTTCCTATTGACAAACAGGACAAATTAGGCTTTTTCCCCTGCCTTGTGTGAGTGTGAGGGGCTGCCCGGTCTCAGGGTAGTGCTGCTTTGCAGAAGGTGTTGGAAGGAAAAAAGTTAGTCTCTAGCAGCCTTATACATAAGGAATCAATTGTAATTGATAGCTTATATTTCTTATATTGGGAGCCTATTTTTATCGTCTATTAAACTATAATTGAAAAACATCCCAATATTTTGTCATTATTCCATTATCGATTACAGGCAAATGTGCTGCCACCATAACAGCGTCTTTTTCTAATTTACTTATACATTCCCAATAATAATAAATAGCCGTCCCCATTTAATCCTAAGAATATCTTTTCCGTTTCTCATGTTTTTAACCTTCTGGCTACCTCTCCCCTTTCCCAGGTTTGCTTCAATGAGTCGCTGGCTGCCTGAGCCCCTGTTACGGCCCAGGACCAAGGTGCTGATCACAGCTGGTAAAACTCAGCCTGGACGAGCATCCTGAGACTGGCTCTAYAAAGGGGCAGCTCAGGCAGCCCCAGCAGTTCCCAGTCCTGTTTGCAGAGCCAGGGTTTGAGCTGGCCCTGGCAGCAGCCTCAGGGCAAGCAAGGGCTGAAGAGGAACGTGCAGTCCTGGAGCAGGAGATGCTGCGACCACAGAGGTAAGGAACRCTCCTTGGTTTCCTCCAGTCTGGCTTTACTGTAAACCAGGAACTCCTACCTGCTAGTGCAGCATTTTAAAAAATCAACCTCATTTTTGGACTTGGTCATATTTAGTACTTGCTTCAAGCTCTAACTTAATCAAAACTCACCCAGCAGCAGCTCTTGTTTCTTTCAGGAAACCACAAGMTAGTGGATAGTGTCAGCTCCTTCATCAGGCCAAAGTGCCCTGCAGTATGTTAGCAGTACTTGCAAACTATTACTTAAACCTGAGAAGAACAATGACTTCAGTTACACAAATAAAATGAGAGTAAAATATTTCTATATGAAGGGGGCAGGGRGTGAGGGCACTCAAGGTGTTCTTTAAAACAGATTTTCTTTTCTCTTTGTAAGAGCCTAGCTACAAATAAGAGCTCTTATAAAGCTTTGAATCTATGTTCTTGTGCATTTTAAATGCCATAAATTCCCCATCACGTTATGTCCCAGAGATGATTCACTCTTTCCAGCTGCCTCAATACTGCACACATGGAATCTGTTGTATATTGTGTCAGCCAGCGCTGTTAAAACGCTCCATCTCCTTTGGTACGTAAACCACGCTCAGCCTTTCAACCACTCCTGTAACATCTTCACTTACGCAGTGCTCCTCTCAGGAGAGCTGCCAGGGCTGTGGGGTTTCATGCTTTATTTAGCAGGTGATCTAAGAATATATGAATGTCTATTGTAGTAGCTGCTCCGGATAGGCACGAGGTTACTCAATGCTGTGTTGCCTTGGATGGTTTGACTTCAGAGCGCTCGGCTCGCAGTCCTGACATTCCCTTCATTTTTGAGATTCTAGATTTTTGGGGTATTTTTTGTCTTGATAGTGGAGCTGTCTATTCCATGCAATGTTTGACAGTCAGATCTGTAGAAGATAAAAGCTTCTTCCTGTGGTGCAAGGCCTGCTTATCTCTCCTCACCTTTTGGTGCTTGAGTAAATTGGATTAAAGCTTTTACTTGAAGCAAAGCACAAATTTTAAGTAATCAGCTGCCAATAAACCTGTTGGCAGCTGTTCCAAAAGATACATGATAGTTTATAAATTGTGAAGGCTAATTGGCAGTGTACAGCGAATTCTTCAAGAGGGTGGAATTGGAACCCGAGACCGTGGGTGTGCCCCAGGGAGCCACGGTGCCTCTTCTAATTTGTTCTAGCATCTAACTCTGAACCTCAGGAAGTTCTCATTTTTATGCAACCCCCAGGTTGCTAAAAGCCCTGAGTTTTGTTTGCAGGAGAAGTGACAGCAGCAGCAGCTTGTGGTGCAGCCCATTCCCAAGCTTCCGTGGGGACGAGCTGCTGCAGGCTCCCGCTGCTGCCTTGCGCTCTGAGAAAKGCGGCATTCCTGGCTTCCTACAGCTTCGCCCAAAGCAGGCAATGCTCAAAAATAAGGCATGGTGTAAGGAACAGCTCTTAAATGTTGAACTCCTGGTGTTGCGGAAACATATATCCCCTCATGGGGACTGATTGAACTGGTTGAAGAGGCGGTGCTGGAGTTGCTCTCGTCCTCCTTGCTAACGTGCACCCAAAAACCAGCCTGACGGGTGGGAAACAGGCTTTTCCCTCGCTCTGCCTGCCCCGACAGTGCCTGCAGCTCTGCCAGGTGCAAGGTGTGGCAGCATGGGATCTACCTGCTTGCGCCGAGCTGTTTATCTTGGCGGGGAAACCTGCCCTCGCCAACTGCTGCGAGGGAACTTTGAGCTCACATAAGACCACGCGTGGTGAAAGCAGCCCCATCTTCTGCCATGTCCATGGTCTTGTTTCACGTACAAATGAAGATTGGTCCCTTTGACGTGTTTCTTTCTTTCTCCTGAYGAGTAACTGTAAAGATCATAGACTCCACTAAAATCTGGTGGGATTTTTAGGTAGAATTGTTATTTCATCAGCTTACCACGTTCTCTATTTCCAAGTATTCCAAGTGAGCGGTGGGTTTGGGGCTGGTTGGCTGGGGTTTTTTGTTCTTTTAGCATCCCACAGAGATGTTCTGCCTTGAGGCAGAACCCTTTGCAGACACACGGTCAGTGGTACAGGCAGCTGAAAAGCAACTGTCTGCATTAAATCAGGTCCTGAAGCCTTCACTGGTATTACTGCTGGATCAGATATTTGCATGTGCCAGGAGACATGTGAATGCAAACTCATATTTCACAAGCAAATGCAGCTGTGGCACAAACAAGTTTCTAGTTTTAGAAAATCCTTTGTTGTTCCAACGGCATTGAGGACATCAAACTTATTAATTTGTTTGCCTCTTTTGTAAGGTTCTTTAGGCCCTCCCCTCACCTTCCATCTTCCTTCCCTTTCAGAAAGGAGGGTGTCACRAAAATCTAAGTCTTCTTTTAAGAAAGAAGAAATCTAATCTTGCTTAGATTTTTTTCAGAAATGTAAAGAAACCAGCCATATGAGCTATTTTAGAAGATAAAAAATATATAAAATAGACTTTCATAGGTGATTTTATATATAATAGAGAGAATTACAGAGGCCRGCTTCCTTTGAAATCACAGGGAATACAGTACTGACATTCAGATCCTGAACTTGCAGTATGATGCTAATACAAGATTTTCTGGGGAATTTTCCAGGGGCTTTACAAAAAAATGACTGCTTTACATGAGGTACAGGAGGGGGCTGGTCAGAATTCAAATWATTTTGTGGGAATAAACCATTTTCTTGGCATTTTTGTTAAGCAAGGACCCTTTTCTTTAGAAGGAGAAATACCCAAATTCATTGCAYGGTTATCCCCAAGTTTGTGAGGGACAGGTTGTTAACTGCTAAGCTGCATCGGGTGTTTTGGTTCTGGTTGGTTATTGTGCTGCTGAAGGGGCTCCACTTCATCCTTCCACCAGATCCGAGGTGGGTTCTCATCCTGAAGTGAGAACGTGAATCCTGTAGCCTCACCTCTGAGCAGCAAGTCTCTCGGGCTAGTTACCGTGCCGGAGCAAACGAGCACGTACACGTCTCTCTCCACTCCTTCCCTTCATTAAAATATTAGAGACCTGCGTTTCATCCCCCCAGAGAACAGAGTGTGCTCGTTCATGGGACACAAGCCCCCGTCTCCGTACGTGACTGCAGGTCTCCCCAAGCAGCCGTGCAGCTGAGCACAGCTCCGTGCCCGTGCACCCCACCGCAGGATGAACATGCCAGTTCACAAAGGTAACAGCTAGTGCTGGTTTTCCTCATAATTGAGATCAGGTGGTGGAATATGYTAAAGCATTTAGGCCTGCCTGGTGCTTTCTGCCTTCCAAGAAAGAGGCAAAGTGTCGGGATCGTTTCAGACTCTTTGTCGGGAGGACCTGCCAATGAGCTGTTTCATGGATTTCAACATTTCCGTTTTGCAGTTTTCCGTAAGAAGCTGATTTTTTTTCCCCCCCCCCTTTCTTGGATAAAAATAAGTCACATGGTTGAAATGAAACCAAAGCGAAGAGTATTACAGCTGCCTGGAGCAGGAAGGTCTGCCCTCAGCTGGTGCTTCTTGGTCAGATGGTGAAATCTGAATGCAGACAGCAGCAATCTTGCAAATCGGTGTTTTGTGTGGCTAGGTCTGTGCCCCATTGAGGAAGTGGCCAYCAATTTGTGCCATCTCATGTAGGGGATTGTTCAGTTTGGGAAGGGTGTTTGATCATACAGATCTTAGCTCTTGGCATCCTGTGCTTCATACAAAACGGGGCACGGGGAAAAGGAACAAATGTCATGTAGTTCTTACCAAAAATCACTATGGAGGTAGTTTTAATGTGAGGAAAAGATAATGAAGATATTAGTGGTTTTTTTCCCCCTTCTGTACAGCTTGGTGGGCAGCCTCACAGGGTGCACCGCATGGGGCTGCAGTGCAGGGAAGCTTTTACTTGGMGCCCTTCCCTATCGATGGGGAATTAGCCATGAAAGGGCAGAGCCTCTGTGAGCCCGTAGCCCTGCGTGTCCTGCTCTGCAGCGCACAAGGCTCTGACCACGCAGCTCACGAAGCGGCGCCTCTCCGTTTACCCAGCTGCTCTGCCCTATTAATTAGCCYGGGGAGGGCTACCAATAAGCCGAGGGCAGAAAGGCTGGTACTGCCTGCTGGGGAACGAGCTGGAGAATGCAAATCCGGCAGACATTCAAAGCAGCTTGTCCTTCGGATGGTACAAAGGGCCCCGTTGGGTTGGGGGGTTTGGGCACCGCGGGGCTGGCGCTGGGGGCTGCCGCAAAGCCCGGCCTAGGCTCATGGGCCTGGGGCGCRGACGCAGGCCCAGGGAGCAGTGCCACCTAGCGCTCTGCGGCCTCCACCGAGCCGCCCTCCAGGCCTCTTGCCTTGGGCCTCTACAGGTGGGAGAGCGCCGCAGGGAGGCCGCGCGGGTGGGGACTTTGTGCTTTTGTTTTTCTTCAAGCTTTCAACAACAACAAACAATAATAATAAAAAGAAACCAAACAGAAAAGCTTCTTGGGCGAAGCCGTAGCTGTTGCTCTTCTTTCACCCTYGTACGGGTACCCCTTGCAAAGAACACCTATTCCTGAACACGCTGTGCACAGCAGGGTATTTCCTTTGTTCTGTTTGGCTTATAAAGTGCTGAAACGGAGCCGTCGTCTCCTGTTCTTAGTCAAGAAATATCAGATTAGTAATAGTACCAATCTGATTATTAAAGGAATAAATTAACACGGTGACCARTATAGGTAGAATTTTGCTTCTCGTTCTACATAAAACTCAATTTAGGAGGTGGAGAAGTAGAAATGAAGATGAAATTATAGGCTTTGAACAGTAAGTGGATTATCCTCTGTGAGAATTCTGCAAAGAAATGAGTTTAAACTTGTCATGGCTCTTAGCAAATTGTTGTAATTCATGAGTCTCAGCCCAATAGATCCTGTAGACTTTTATTGCTGTCAGTCCTGGCTCCTGACTGTCCCAGAGCAGCCTCCACAGCTCAGTTAGTGGGAATAAACCCAGCCATGGAACGGGCTTTAATTCCCCCTGTGGTGCCTGCATGCTTGCTAATGACATGCAGAGAAGTT